CCGGCAGTGGATGAGGGTTCTAATTCTTCCATATCTTCACAAGTATTTTTTATTGTCTATCTTTTAAATTATAGCAATACAAGGGGGTTATACAGTGATAGCTCATTGTGGTTCTGAGTTGCATTTCCCTAAAGACTAATGATGTTTGATATCTTTTCATGTGTTTGTGAGCCATTTGTACATCTTCTTTGGAGAAATGTCTACTCAAATATTTTGCTCATTCGAGAAATTGGGGTATCTTTTCATCATTGAGTTATGAGTTCTTTATATATTCCGGATATTAGACCCTTATGAGATATATGATTCGCAAATATTTTCTCTCATTCTATGGGTTATCTTTTCACTTTCTTGATAGCATCTTTTGAAACACAAAAATTTTTAATTTTGGTAAAATCCAGTTTATCAATTTTTTCTGTTGTCACTTGGACTTTGGTGTCATATCTAAGCTACCATTGCACAACCCAAGATTACAAAGATTTACTACTAGGTTTTCCTCTATGACTTTTATAGTTTTAACTCTTACATTTAGGTCTTTGATCCATTTTGAGTTAATTTTTGCATAGGGTGTGAGGTAGGGAGTCTGACTTAATTCTTTGCTATGGATAGCTAGTTTTTTTAGGAAAGATTATTCTTTGGTCACTAAATTGTCTTGACCCTCTTTTTGAAAGTGAATTGACTCTAAATGTTAGGGTTTATTTCTGGACTTTAAATTCTATTCTACTGGACCAAACTATACATTCTTCTTCTTCCTCTTCTTTTTTTTTTTTTTTTAAGATCTTATTTCTTTATTTGAGAGAGAGAACGAGCAGGGGGAGGGGCAGAGGGAGAAGCAGACTCCCCACTAAGCAGGGAGCCCAATGTGGGGCTCAATCCTATGACCCTGAGATTATGACTGGAGCCAAAGCCAGACATTTAACTGGCTGAGCCACCCAGGCACCGCCAGCCACCAAGGTGCCCCCCATTCTTGATTGCTATATATTTGTAGATAAGGTTTGAAGTGGAAGACTCTGTTGTTGGATGTGTATGTGTTCATATTTGTTGTATTGGTAGATTGATCTTCTTATAATTACAAAGTGTCCTTTTTCTCTAGTAACATTTTTTTTTTTTTTTTTTTTACTTACAGTCTTTTTTGTTTGATATTTAGTATATAGCCAATCCATTTCTCTTTTGGGCTAGTTTGAAGGATACATCATTTTCCATTCATTTACTTTCAACTTAATTTGTGTCTTTTGTAGATAACATTGAATTGGATCATTTTTAAAAATCCATTTTGTCAATCTTAACCTTTCAGCTGGAGTGTTTAATTCATTTATGTTTAACATATTGTTGATAAGGTAGGATTTACATCTGCTGTTTTGTTTTCTGTATGTTCTATTTTTTTGTTTGTTTCTCTATTCCTCCACTACTGCCTTCTTTCATGTGAAGTAGATATCTTCTAGTGTACTGCTTTTAATTTCCTTATTTCTTTTACAAATTTCTTGAGACCTCTCTTTATTACTTTTCATAGAGCAGGTCTGCTGGTGATGAATGGTCTCCAGTTCTGTTTACTTGAGAGTGTCCTAATTTTTCCTTCATTTTTGAAAGCTGGTTTTGCTGAATATAGAATTCTTGGTTGACAGTCTTTTCTTTCAGTGTTTTGCATCTATCCTCCCACTGCCTTCTGGCTTCCATGGTTTCTAATGAGAAACCAGATGTTCATTTTATTGATGACACTTTATACATAATCACCTGCTTCTCTTTTGCTGCTTTCAAGATTCTCTCTTTGCCTTTGCCTTTTGAGAGTTTGAGTATTGTCTAAAAGTTTTCTGTCTTCTTAGGCTGTACCTTTCCTGGTTCTTTGGCTTGAGAGAGCAGGCTTCTGAGGGGAGATTTCTGTCTGTACTCATTGGCACATCCAGGTTGCTAACTTCTCCAGTTCTGAGATGTATGACACAAAAGAATACTCAAGGAACTCACTGCTGTGTCAGTCCTTGGGTCCTGAACAACCTAGCCAATCTGCCTTTCTCTCTCCACTTTTTAAAGTCTCTCTTTTTGCCTTTTTCAGTTCTTTTCTGTTGTGCTTTGCTGAAAGAATAGGGTGGAATGCACCAACTCCATCTTCCTGGAAATGGAAGTTGACTTTATTGCCTCTTAGAAGGTACTTTTCCATAGCCACCTCATCTTGTTACATTTTTGCCTTCTGATCCCACCCACCATGTCTGTTCTTTTTACAAATGTTTTTCCTTCATTATTCTCATTGAGGATCCTAAATATGCTTCCTTTAAAGTCTTTTTCCCCCTCTAGACTGTTCTATTATTTTAATTTCATCTGGAGTTAATTTATATTATGATTACTAATTTTAGTGGTCATTATTCTTAGCATTAGATGTCTTCATGGGCTTTAGGTTTGAGTTTTAGGTTCATTTTGGGGTAAAAGGCTATCTTTCACTTTCTCTCTCTCTCTCTGTATTCTCTGTGTACTCAATCCTCTGGAGCCCCCTTCCTCCCTAGTCTAGCAGTTTGGGGCTGTTCCCGTGATGCCCGGTCTGCAGTACAGAACATGTTTTATATGGGTGGTGGTGCTTCATGCTTCCTGGCCCTCAGGGTCTATTTGTCAAGCCGGGGGCATGAGATTCATGATACTGTGTGTTCTTCCTTGTCCCAGGGCTACACCTTCACAGAAGCTGTTGCCCCCATGAAATGGTCAAAGCAGATTTTTCAGACTCCTCTCGGCATACAGGTGACCCCCCTCTCCCCCGGTTTCAAAGAGAAAAAGCCTGATACTGTTGCCAGGACCATTATGTCCTCATTATGCCTCAGGACCTAGGGCCCAGCAAGCCCACGGCTTGTCAATACTAAGTAGTTTGTGTTTCTGGACCACAGTGGAGTTCATCTTGTTTTTGAGCCCAGCCAGATCTTCTCAATACTTTGTTTGTATAGTTTATCATTGTTCTATGTTTGTAGCAGAGAGAGCTATTTCAGAGCATGAACCATCGATTATCTGGATCAGAAGCTAAATACTCTGCCCCTGGTTTTCTTATTTTTAAAGTTCTTATAATTTTTATTTCACTGTTTTTATGTGATGCCACTTTATATCCTATTTGAAATAATGAGAAGTCCAAATAAATTACATATTTCTTCAAATTCATGTTTCATCATTTCTGAAATGAGGGTGTACCTTCTATTCAATGCACCCGGGAATTTAGGATTTACAGTGTCAACCACACCTGAAATTATAGCAGACACTTCCCTCCTGTGTACAGCGTTCAGGGATATGGTGAGGTACAACCCTGAGGCTGAGGCAGAGAGACTGATGGGGTGACTCACAGGAGTAGACGGGGATTCCTGTGTGTGTTTGGAAGAAGTGGGAGGGGTAATGCGGTCCAGGCCAATTTCTGCATTTAAAGTCATTGACCTCAGTGGAGATGAATGCAGCTCCTGCCCCCATCTCCTTTGCGAGATCTCACGGAGGCATTTTAAAGAAACACCATCTCCTTTCTTTCCTCTCTTGCCTTATGTCCTAGAATTTTCAGCTGGTCACGAAAAGTGCACCCTTTGGCATACTGGGGTACATGCAGTTGTGGGCACTGCTAGACTATCCTCTTCAAGTACTGACACCCTCATGCTCCAATTCCCATTTTATACAAGTGAAAACTGGAAAGGTGTGAGAGAAGCTGATTTTGTCCCAGGATTGACTGAGGAATGCAGGGGCTGCAAGTGGTTCAGCCTCCTTGAAGATGTGTCCTAGAAAGACTGGCATGGTGGGTGTCTTCTCTCTCTCGCTGTGCCCCAACCTGGAATTGACCACCCAGAAGCAGCTCAACAGGGTCACGCAGGAAAAGCATCCAGATCCTCATGCTCTTTGGCCTGGTAATTTCACTCTTTGGCTATTACCCTGGAGAACTTGGCAGAGCAAAGTCTGGGATTTATATACAAGAAAGGTTTATAGAACTTCCCCAAGGAAATAAGATAGAGATCCATCAAAAGGGGCATGGTATGCGATTTCAGTGGAACTCTATAGGCAATAACTGAAAAGTCATGCTTTTGAAATAGCTTTAATGGGAAAATGCTCAAAATTCAGTGTGCTTTTAAGGTTACAAAATAGTTCATAAAGGGCGCCTGGGTGGCTCAGTTGGTTAAGCGACTGCCTTCGGCTCAGGTCATGATCCTGGAGTCCCGGGATCGAGTCCCGCATCGGGCTCCCTGCTCGGCAGGGAGACTGCTTCTCCCTCTGACCCTCCCCCTTCTCATGCTCTCTCTCTCTTAAATAAATAAAATCATGGGGCGCCTGGGTGGCTCAGTTGGTTGGGCGACTGCCTTCGGCTCAGGTCATGATCCTGGAGTCCCGGGATCGAGTCCCGCATCGGGCTCTCTGCTCGGCAGGGAGTCTGCTTCTCCCTCTGACCCTCCCCCCTCTCATGCTCTCTGTATCTCATTCTCTCTGTCTCAAATAAATAAATAAATAAAATCTTTAAAAAAAATAGTTCATAAAGTACAAAAATTAGTATTTTGAAATAGAATATATCAAAGAAAAATGACTGGGTGGAACAAAAAAAATATTACTATTTGTTTTCTTCAGGTGGAGGGATTTTTGAGTGATACAAAACTGTTTTTATAAGACTTCTGTGGCGTCAAAATTTGCTACAATGAATATGTATTGTATTGAATTTGCATTCAAGTTACAATATGAAAAGCGTGTTTCATTAAAAAAATATAATTACAACATATACAGAAAGAGCCTCGCTCGTAACCTTAGAAAGAATTACAGAACAGGAAGGCATCTCTCCTAATAATAAGATAACAGCAACCCCGGACATCGCTGATTGGCTGCTGCAGAAAGACGCGGAGCGGTAGTCCTGGGAGGCGGGGCTGCGTGCGCCATTTCCGGGGCGGGGCTGCGGCCGCCGCCGCGCACGCGGGAGCGGGCTGTCTCCATGGCAACCGGCGGGGCCCGCGCGAGGCCCGCCCGCCGCCGCCGCCACCGCCTCCGCCGCCGCGCCCGCCCCGCCTGCGCCCCGGCCGCCCGCGACCCGCCCTCCCTCCGCTGCGACCCCGGCCCCGGCCCCCGCTCGCGCTCCCGCCCGAGGCCGCCCGCGCCCGCCTGCCGCCGCCGCCGCCGCCCCGGCCTGACCTGACCGGGAAGCAGTTCCGCGGGCCGCTGCCGCCGTGACTCATCGGCCCGCCCGCGTCCCCCGATCGGGCCATCTTGGTCGCGGCCGGCGCGGCAGACGGAGCCGCGGAAGAAGCCGCGGAGACCCAGGTACGCGCCCGCCGCCCGTCCCGGGCCCCCGCGCCGCCGCAGGTGCATCGCCCTTTGTTCTGCGCAAGGTGGGCGCCGGGCCCCGCGCGGGGAGGGGGCTTCGGGCCCGGGCGCTCCTGCCCACGCGCTTTCCGCCCCCCCCCCCCCCCGCGGCCTTCCCCTCCACCCCTTTCTACGCCGTCCAGACGTTTCTGAAAACATCTTTTCCTCCTTCAGGGCCCAGAACAGCCCACCCCCCTGTGCAGCCCGCCTTGGCCTGGTGAGGTCTGCGTTAAAAGAGCCGCCTCCGGAATCGGCATCCCCCAGGGCCTGCCCCACCGGCCTGGCCCCGGCTGTGCTCGGCCCGCGGCTCCGTCTGCCCTGCCTTCTGGTTTGGCCTTCTCAGCCGCTCTGAGTGTTGAACCCCGCCCTTTCCCTGATTCCTGTCGGGGTCTGCCCGATTTTAGCATCACAGGTGCTCAGGTTCTGGGTTACCCACACCCCTTCTCCCAGCCCACCCGTCTCAGCCTTTGGCTGACCTCTGGCCAACATGGTCCAACCCCAGACATCAAAAGCTGAAAGCCCGGCCTCGGCAGCATCTACCAGTGCCCAAATGGATGACGTCATCGACACCCTGACCTCCCTGCGCCTCACCAACTCGGCGCTGAGGCGGGAGGCCTCTACCCTGCGGGCAGAGAAGGCCAATCTCACCAACATGCTGGAGAGCGTGATGGCAGAGCTGACCTTGTTACGCACCAGGGCCCGGATTCCGGGGGCGCTGCAGATCACCCCGCCCATCTCCGCAATTACCTCCAACGGGACCCGACCAATGACCACGCCTCCAACCTCTCTGCCTGAGCCCTTTTCTGGAGACCCCGGCCAGCTGGCAGGGTTCTTGATGCAAATGGACAGGTTCATGATCTTCCAGGCCTCCCGCTTCCCAGGTGAGGCCGAACGAGTGGCGTTCCTTGTGTCCCGGCTGACCGGGGAGGCAGAGAAGTGGGCGATCCCCCACATGCAACCTGACAGCCCCTTGCGAAACAACTATCAGGGATTCCTGGCAGAGTTGCGGAGAACCTACAAGTCTCCACTCCGGCATGCACGGCGCGCCCAAATCAGGAAGACTTCTGCCTCTAATCGGGCCGTGCGGGAGCGGCAGATGCTGTGCCGCCAGCTGGCCGCCACGGGCACGGGGCCTTGCCCGGTGCACCCAGCCTCCAGTGGGACTAGTCCAGCTCCGGCTCTGCCCACCCGAGCTCGGAACCTTTAAGGATCAGCCACCACCCGGGTCGCATCTACAGCCACGCAGACAGCGTACACCCTTTGCTACGTAGAAGAAATGCCCATAGGACAGCATCACCCTTGTTTGAAGACATTCGTCCCTGCCTCTCCAGACCTGTACCATAAGGAGATCTTCCTTCATCACTCTTGGGCGCCCTGTCACCCACCTTGCTTCCTAGTGATCTGTGCTATAGCTTTGTCCCCACCGTGCATGCTTCCCGTCTCTTGCTTGCCCCCCCAGCTCTCCTGGTAACCACAGCTCTGCTGCTTGGCCACAGTGACCCCGCAGCCCGCTGCCGATCATCTGGGCTGATCCCTCCCAGCCTGACTAGGTTCATGGACGCTCCTACTCCACCCTGTGCAGGCCCCTCTGGCAGCTCCCTGCTGATGATAGAGGGGAGCCACTTTGGCCAGGCTGGTGGTGTGTTTTGGGTACCTGCGGGAGGGGAGTCTGGCTTCGCACCTGCAGGTGATCACCAGCCCTGCCAGGCCCTGGGATAGCAGGCGGGGGCCTCGACCCTGCTGCGGCGGCCAGGTGTTCACCGCTGGGAGTGGGTGCAAGCATTTCTGGTGGGCAGGCTTTGCTCTGCGCATGAACATGGAGTCGGTATGTCCCATTGTTGCCCCTGGGAAAGACCGCTAATGCAGCTAAAGGGAGAAGCCCCCAGAGGATGCACCTGCAGGAATGCTTGGCTTTAGTTGCCAATGTTCTGACAGCACTGGCCTTCTGGGAATCTGGAACTTGCCTGCTACAGGAGGTCATCATGACTGTGGATCACTGAGCCGTTCCACGGAGCGACCACAGGCAGCACGTTCATGTACATCCCTGCCTGAGGCCCACGGTGGGCTGAGGACGGGGGGGTGCGCCCGGGGGAACCACCACCACCAACTAGTGTGTAGTCACCCCCTCCTCTCTGCCCCCCATCACTTGGCGGTAGGCCTGTCTAGCTTGAGACCTGTTCCCATCTTCAGGTGACATGTGGCCTTCACCTCGGCCCCCTCGGCCACCCGCACCACCTCTAGCGTGTAGCATGTCCTCCCCATGCCTGGGCTGTCCCATTGGGTGTCCAGCCTTTGTCTAAGAAAATAGGGACTCCTAGCTGGAGACCCAAATCCTCTGGGATGCATCATTAAGCACTTAAGGAAGGCCCCACCAGGGCCTTTGTGGCATTTGTAAAGGGAAAGAGCTGCAGTCTATCTTGGTCTTAATGTGGGGACAGGACAAAACTGGCACTTGGGTCTGAATTCCGAGGGACAAAGCTACACCTCTGATGGTGGACGGCCTTTGGGTTCCTCACGGGGGACACCCAGAAATCACTTTCTAAATGAGACTTGGTCAAGCCCTTTGGACCATGATGATCTCACCATATTTAATGCCAAACGGACCACATTTACATGACCACCTGGACCATGGGGAAGATGAGGTGTCTTACCCTGGGTCCACCTGCCCTGTCCGAATGGTCCTGCCCTGACCGCAGAAGGATAGCCTCTGCACCCACCCGGAGACCAGTGTCTTGGGATACCCAGAGGTTGGGTCCTAGGGTCTATCCTTTCTTCCTAAGAGTTTTGATGATGCTGGGGACGGTGACTGCGTTCTTGAAGTGGCCACTGCCTTGCAAGGTCAAGGATATTCAGTGGCTGCTGGGGTTCGTGGACCACTGCCACCCACTCATTGTAAACTCTGTTAGCCCAATCGCCCTGCTGAAGAACTGCCTGAATACAGGCTTCAGGCCCCCCTGGATTCCAGCCAAGGCTGTTCAGGTGGGACCATGGTGCTCATTAAGCATGAATGGGGGGGGAGGACACACAGTGGGGCCACCATTCTGGGGGGTGGGACCTCTGGTGGGGGATGTACAGATCACTTTCTCTTTGTGCTCAGTGCTCTACTGTCTGCCTGCTAGGTGGAGGTGCCCACGGATGCAGGGGTGCAGGCACCCGGGGGACAGGAGGCACCCTGAACGTTTCCATGTGGCCCAGCCTGGTGAGGGCGGGAGACCCCGCATGGAAGCAGGGCAGGAACCGTGCCATCTCGCCGACCCCTGGGCCTACCCATGTGGCACGTAGAAGTCCTAGTATGCTTGCGTTGCGCGCAGCAGGGCCTGAGCCGCGGAGGGCCGGGCTGGCCATGCTGCCTGTCCCCCCCTGACCTGGCCCGTCCAGGCTGCCGCTCCAGCCTCCAGCTCCCTTTGGTTCGGTGAGTCGTGTTTCAGCCGCTGGTGCTCCTGTTCATGGGCTTGGGACTGGTGTTGTTGCACATCTGTGACCTTGACCGCTTCCGGCGGCTTTGGAAGTGAGTAGACGAGAGGCTCAGGGGGTTGCCCCACATCGGACTCAGACAAGGCCCCACATTGGGAGCCCCCCTGTGGCTCTGGGGGAAAGACATCTGAGTTCCCAGTGGAAGAGGATGAGACCCGCGCTCCATGCAGCCCAGAGCCAGACCGCGGGTCGGGGAGGGTCAAGCTGAAGAAGGAAGTGGGGGAGGGGAGCGGCTTTGTACAGACTTAGGGGTTGTGGTTTCTATCAGTTTAAGAGAACAGGTATTGATTTGTAAAAGGGACAGGCAGTTAGTAGTGTTAAACAGTGCTCGTGAGGGAAAGTTTTATGTTTTTCATGGTGTTGACATTATTTGAAATGTATTGTGGTGTTTCTGGTCTACCTGATACCCCATCTGGTAAGTAAGCCTCATGGCATAACAGGGCATCATTTGAGATGGAATTTAGAATAAGGGGTGACTTCCTGGCCGAATGTATCGTGTGACCTTGGGATTAATTTAATGTCCTAAAGCATTTCGGTGACTTCTAGGAAAAAGCAAAGACCTGGTTCGTGGGTCCCAGGTAAGTATATGATGAGTAAGTAATGACAGGGGTGCACAGCCCCCCGAGAAGGTGCTGGTAGGACTTTTCCTGGCGTGTGGGTCCCTGCCGTCAAGTGTGACAAGCCACTTGCTGGGTCACCGCGGTCCTGGCAGTTCGGCCCATAGGAGAGAAATGTGAGGGAGAGTTGGGCACGTACTTAGGCTACCTTAAGGGGGCAAGCCCTACAGTTGTATAAAAGGACATTCCCATGGGCCACCGCCAGCAGTGGAGTTTGGGTGGGAGGAGGAGGAGATCGAGATCCTTGCAGAAAAACTAAGCTCCCCAGTGCCTGGGAAATGTTAGACGGGGGGCTTAGAGCTGAGGTCAAGACTGGACTCTGCAGAAGGAAGTGCAGAGCGCCTTGTTGGGCCAACAGAGGTAGCTTGCCGGCGTCGGGAGAGGATTGGGTGTAGGACAGGTCTACTGTGTGGGGAGAGCTGACGACGCCATGGCGTCTCTCGGGGTCCTAACGGGGGGTGGGGGGGGGTGGCAGCTGGTGCAGTGCAGATGCAGTGGGAGAGGTGGGAGGGACCCTCGCTCCTCTCTGCAATGTCACTAACTCCACGAGCAAGTAACAACGCACCAGGTCTTTTCATAATCAGAGCAAACCTACACCTTGTAAAAATTTTGGAAAATAAGGTAGCAAGCGAGAAGAGTGAAGTGTTAACATGTTGGTGGCTCTCCTGCCAGCCCCCCCCCCCCATCCATCATGGTTTTTCTTCTTTTTGTGGGGACTTAGTGGTGGTAATACCTTCCGTAAGAGATACCATATTGTGTGGGTGTTTTCACTTCTGTGACGCGACTTCCCCATTACACGTTACTACTCATTTTAGTTTGAAATGGCTGTGTCCTCCATCACGGAGACGGACAGTAGTGCCCATGGTTGATCATCCATGCCATTCGTTACTAATTTCTCACCACCAGAAACGGAAGAATTTCTTCGTGCATAACACTTTTCCCCAATGTCAAGTTACTTCCTTAGGATAGGTTCTCAGAGGTGGAATTACTGAATTAATAGGAAAACCTTTGAGCCCCTTATTACATATGGACAGAACGGTTCCCAGCAATGTTTGTATCCATTAACACTGCCACCAGCAAGTACGTATGTGCCCCTTGCACCATCTCGCCAGCTCGGAGGATTATCTTCCGGCTAAATACTTGCTGGTCTGATAATGAAACGTAGCATTGTGTTTCAGTTTGCATTTCTTTGCTTTTTAGCAAAGTTGAACATCTTTCCATGTTAAGCAGTTCTATTTCCTCTTGTGGATTGTCAGTGTCCTTTGCTCTTATCTACTGGGGTCTGATAAATTTGTATGAGCTCGTTATATATTAAAGATATTAACCTGTTGTGTGTCATATTTGCTGCACATGTGTCCAGCTTTTTACTTTTGTGTGTGTTTTATTGACATTTTGACTTCTTACACAGCCAATCCCCTCTCTCGTTGGGCACGATGCCCACTGGACTCTCAACAGAACAACATGACGCAGGCACATACGTTTTGTCCCTTTAGCTCACGGCTGTACCTGTAACTATGTGATGTGGTGGGCACTCTATAAGCCTTTGCCAGCTTGTTGCATGGATGGATGTGCTGGGTGCTGGGGGTTTGTGGATGAGTAAAACGATGCCCAGCCCACATGCCTGGGGACCGAGAGCAGTTCTCCAGCCTTCGAGTCTCAGAATACCTTTGCGCCGTTAAAAATAACTTAGGGACCCCCGAGAGCTTTTGCTTATGTAGATTTTACTTATCAACATTTACCGTATTAAAATGGAGAATGTCTGGAAATATTATTTTGAAAATAAACTCATTACATGACAACATAAATAGCATATTTTAGTGAAAACTATTTCTGAACACAAAAAAATGAGAAGAGTGGCATTGTTCTCCATTTTTGCAAATTTCTTTAATGCTCAATATAAGACAACTGGAGTCTCACACCCACTTCTGCACTCAATCTTTTGCAAGATCACTTCTCATGTAGCCTCTGAACAATTCCACTGGGGACCCATGGGATAGAGTGGGGGAAGCAGAGAATATTCGGGCATTATTACAAAACCGATTCTACCTCACAGACCCCCTCCCAGGGTCATGCCCACTCAGAACTGCTGGTCTAAGAAGAGACTAGATGGGCCTGCAGACACTTGCATCTGGTCCTTTGTGGTTTCTTCCAGTGTTTTATTTTTACTCATTTTTTGGAAGATTTTATTTATTTGAGAGAGGGGGAGAACATGAGTTGGGGGGGAAGGGAGGGAGAAGCAGACTCCTCACTGAGCAGGGAGCCCGATGTGGGGACTTGATCCCAGGACCCTGGGATCATGACCTGAGCCGAAGACAGACGCTTCACCGACTGAGTCACCCAGGTGCCCCTCTTTCAGTATTTTAAATGTTAGGTCTTTCTTTCCCTCTAGAATTAATGAAGTTGGGTCTGGAATTAGTCTGGCATGGAGTGTGAGGTGAGGCTCTAAACTGACTTTACCCCCCAAATATTTAAACATCCTGAGATCATAAATTAATTCTTTCCATCTCATTGACATGTTTTCCTTCATCACATTTGAAAGTCTTACTTGTTATAGGGCCGACTTTTCTAGTATCTATTGATCCACTGATTTCCCTCTGCCTCCCTTTTTAAAATGATTTCGCTTTTACAATTCGTATTCCTATCTAGGAGGGTTCCCCCCTTCAGGTTTTCTTAATCTTTCCCACCAGATGAGCTTACAAATTAATTCTAAGGTTTCCCAAAATCTTGGTAACAAGTGCAGAGCTTGGACAGGCATCGCTGCTTTGGTGAGCTGTGTGCAGGGTGGAGCGCTGCGAGCCGGGTGCGTCTTCCTCCTACCAGCCCAAGACCTTGCCCTCCCCCACCTGGGGGTTCCCACCAATGGCTTCTCTAAGACAGGTGGTGGTTTAGGAACGGGGGTTAAAATCTGCCCCCCAACTGGCTAGACTGTTGCCAAATCAGTGTCTTCTGCTATGGAAAAGTCTAGAGAGTACGCGCAGTGCCCTACTGGTGGGCCCCAGATGTCCGGTCCTAAGAGGTTCGCAAGGATCCAGCCACCCACTCTGCCTGCCAGGGGAGGCATGGAGCTGTGGTCCCCCAGCCAGCCCCACTGTGTGGCCCAGTTTGAGGCTTGAAACCAGGAACCCGGGTTGGAACAGGGCCTGCATCCTCAGCGACTGCATGACACCTGCTTTTGCTTTGAGCTCCCATGTACCCAGCCTGGTAGAATTCCATCCCGGGGCCCACTGACTCTCCCTCGCAGTGAGTGCTGGCTCCATCTGTGTGGTCCCCCGGCCAGGAACCTGGGCGTCATCTTGCCTTCTCTCCTTCATCCCCACCAAGGATGAAGGCCTTCACCAAAGCCTTCCAAAGCTTCTCCTCAACAACTCTCAGTCCGCCTGGCTCTGTGTCCCCACCACTGCCCCCTTTAGTCCCCCTGCCTCCCCTCATGCTCTTAGTCCTGTGGAAAGGCCAGGGTCAAATTTCCTCCTCTTAGAAACCCTCCTTGAACAACACCCTCACACCCACCCCAGTTGTACAGTTATTGAAAACCATCACGCTGTGTTAGGGAGCTTCTGCTTTCCTCCCCCGCTAGACCGTGTGCCCCTTGAGGGCAGAGCTGATCTCCGATGCATGTGTGTCCCCAGCACCCAACCCCGGGGGCGCTAACAGAGAAGCCGCCTGGGGAAATGTTCAGTGGTTGACCAGAAGGACAGCACAGCCAACAACAGCTGGGAGTCTTGGGTCCACGACACCCAGGCCACCTGCCAAGGAAAACTGGAACCTCCAGCAGGCCCCACACCCCTTTGTCCTGTTTTCTTTTTCACAAAATGGGATCATACTGTACGTACTCCTTATTAGCCTGTTTTTGTTTTGTTTTGTTTTGTTTTTTACCCCTATGATACATGATGAGAACTTGCCAACGCCATGATATTTTTTGAAAATGCGACTGATAAATGAATAATATCCCACCTCTGGATTTGCCACCCTTGACTCAACCCCCCCCCCCCCCCCGCTTTTGGGATGTAACTCATTTACAATTTTTGTCAACATTAAATGGTGTTGCAGTAAGCATCCTAGCAGCTAAACATCTCCTTGGGAATGTGATTCTTCGGCCAGTCTGCTCCTGTCGGGACTTTGCGTTATATTGACTGCGGGGTCACTGCTGACACACGGGAGAGATCGGCCGTGTCTCTATTTGGCCGGTTCACTGAGTGTGGAGTAGCTTGCGGGGCTCTCCTAGTGATTCCTTCCAGTCTTCACAGACCCCAGAAGCGTCTCCAGCAGATGGTGACTTTCTGCTCCAGGAACAGAGGCTTCCCTGCCACGACTGGAGCACTCATCCTCCCAGCACTGGGAGTGTTGGTGGCTGATCCCCTCAGCCGCAGTTCTTCCCCAGACTTGCCTTCAGATGAAGGCACCGCCTCGCCCGGGGCCATGCCTCCTTCCCTACGACAGCGCATGTCTCCATCTCATTTCATCCTCCCGCTGCCCGCTCGGACTGGGCATGTTACCATGCCGCCCGACGGGCCAGGAAACAGCTGGAGTGGGTAAGCGGCTGGGCCGCCGTCACACAGCTTGCAGGGCCATTTCTGGGACCTGAACTGGGTCCCTGGGTTCCTCTTAACCTGCTTCTTAACTGCTGTCCGTCTAGTCGCTCCCTGTACCTGCCGACATCACTCTGCTGCGAGGTGGGCCCCGTGCTGGGTCACAACCTGGTTTGTACTGGGCCCTCTCCCTTCAGTTCCAAGCTCATGAGGTGAGACCCCTGTGGCCAGCGCACCCACACACCCACACCCCCACACACCCACACTGCACACACCCACACCACACATCGCCCACACACCACACGCATCCACACACCTACCCACACACCACTGGATGTGTGTATAGAAACATCTGAAAATAATGAAAGGACGTTTCTTTGGACTAGAAATGAAGCTACCTCACAACCGCGATAGGCAGTGAGCGCTGGGAACCGTGTGCGCCGGCCGGGGAGCAGGCCACGGAAGACCTCCAGCCTCGTGTCTGCGCGTGTGGCCGGGGGCGCGCTGCCCACTGTGGCCGGGGCGGAGGCGCGGCGCCCGGGGTCCAGGAGGTGCCCCGCCCGGCCCACAGCGGCCCAGAGCCCCAGAGCCCCAGAGGGGTGGGCGCTCCTGGCTCGCGGGCTCAGAGTCCGCCCGTCTGCTCGCCTGCCTCCACCTCCACCACAGCTACAGCCGGAAGCCTTTTTTTTTTTTTTCAAATGGGTTATGTGTGGTATATATTAGAGATACTGATGTTGTGCTATTCTTTATGTTGCCATCTTAGTGAAATCATGTTTTTAGTTTTAAAGTTGTTCTTGGGTTTTCATATAATCTCATCTCTTCCAAATGAGAGCATTATCCATGACTTTCTAACATTTTGTAACTTTATCTTCTTCTCTTAGCCCATGAGCAGAGGCCGGGAGGAGTCCCTTTGCATGCTTGACTTCACACTGCTCTGGGAGGGCAGAGCCTGGAACCGAGATTAAACTCTGGTCCCTGTGCTGCTTCTCCGGCTGGCGAGCCACAGGGTGTGGCTTGCTAGGGCCCCCGGGGCAGTCGGACCCTGCAGCTCAGCACCCAGCGCTTCTCTCTCTGGTTGCTGGTCTGCATCAGATGCCGTTGGAAACCCATCACCGTCTCCTGTGGCTGGCCCCAGGGCAGTGTGGCTCTCTTCCCCTTCCCCAGTCATTCTTCTACCCCAGCCTCCGCTCCTGAGACCTCCCCCCACCCCACTGGGGGGCCTCCTGGGATTAGGAAGCAGCTTGTGAGCCTGGCTATCCTCCACAGCCTCCCTGGACCCCGGGGCCACTGACTAACGCCCTCATCACAAACGGCTCCGTGGGCTTGGCCAATTCTTGCCCCTCTTTCAGTGGTCCTTCTTTAAGTCCCATGGCTTCTGAATTTAGCTATGGAGTCTTCTGGATTCCAAGTAGTAACGTGTCCCCAGAAACCTGATCGTCACACACCAGGCACCACAGTTAAAACTCATAGAAACTGCCCACTCTCTCACGTCATATCTCAGCGTTTTCAATGATAAGAAAGGTTTGAGCGATTTGACCATGAGTCTCCAATGGCCATCTCAGGCTCAGGACATCTGCTAAAGCCTCCACCTCTCAAGGAAAGCCATTTAATTTCTAGGTATACACTGTAGCAGGATATTGAGCTGGGCTTTTCCTATTGTAGCCAAGATCCAAATATGAGAATAAAAGGTCAATGAATAAACTATATATTCTGAACTCAGACAGCAGCTGACAAGCCGTCAGCACCCACACCTAAAGGGATTTCTTAGATAAGCCATTCTACTAGGACCAAAAGCTTG